AACAATGAATCTCCCAAAGTGGCCAGGTCTTTGAACATTGGAAGTTCAACAAAATTAATAATAAACTATTAAAAACCTACCTAACCTTTTGTGATACATACAAAAACTGAATTGGTAAACCTGGTTTCATACACAACCAATTGTGTTTACATTTCGTGGATGTGACCACCATAGGACCAAGATACATTATTACTGATGGACTTTTAATGCGCTAACACATTTATCGGGAGATTTACGCATGTACAAAAAAAAATTTCCAGACGTACTTAGGCCTCCCTTGTGACCTAAATGTCGAAGAAATAAATGAATCACTGGCAAAAGTTTTTTTTTTTTTTTTGAGTTCTTTGGGTTAGAAAAGGTTAGCTCAGGCTTTCATTTTTTTTCTGAGAACACCACTACCACCAGAAAGAGCTATTCGATTTCGTTAATTTTTCCACAGATATTCTTATCATTATAGTAAGTATTTTATAAGAGACGACAACTTTTTAGGTCAATTGATAGTATCACACCGGACTTTATTTTTATATTAAAAATAGTTTTTCCTTTGGTTTTTGTTGAGTTTCGAATGAATTTGATATCCATTTCCTCCGGAAATCAATTGTTCTTTTTTAGATTACCACCCCCAACAATCATAGAGGAAAAAGTTGGATTTTCTTTTTTCGAAGAAATCAAATAAATAAAATACTAACCAACCAAGAAAACCTAACCTAACCTAACCCTCCATTCGTCATGCCCCACATCTTACCTTAATCTGTAAAACTATTGTGACAGCGCCAAATATGCTGTTCTTCACGCAGTGTACACTGGTTATTACACTTCGGACAAAGAACTATATTCGGTAATACACCGCGTTTTCTAAAAAAAATATATACTATTTTTCTGGTGTAACTCTGCAAATGGCGCAAAACAATCATTCTCACAATGTCGGCACAGCTCTTCCAACTCAAATCTCCGCTCCTGACCCACCCACCCATTGTTCATTGGCTAAAACAAAAAAAAATCTTACCCAATAAAAATACTCCTACCGCTATAGCCAATATGAAACTCCCACTTCAACCCCCCACACACACATGTGTTGTAGACGCTTAAGAAGCGAACACAGAGGTCTGGAGCGATGCGTGAGCAGGTGTCAGACCTCCACCAGATGTAAACAAGACATGGCGACACTCGTGAATGAGCGAATGTAATAATCTTGAAAAATTAATATCTCGGTTATCCTTAATTTCCGGTGGAAATAACATAGAAGAAAAATGTCTTAGAAGTGTCTAAACATTACTTAACACATATTAATAGCAGCGAAAGAAAGTCTGGTGTAAAATTATGGATTCACCACTTTTTATACTGGTACAGGTACTACCGACGGGCAAGGAGCGACCTAATTGAGGTGTAAAAACATCTCAAAGGGCACTACTCAGTCGAGTGTCTTTACCTGGAGCTGGCGGATGCTTGCCTCACAAGGGGTCACAGCTCAAGGTTGAAGAAGCCGCAAGTCCAGAAAACTGTGAGGGCAATCTTTTTCGGAGTGAGAGTTGTGAACTCTTCGAACGATCTACCAGAAAGAAAGTGTTGTGACGGCACCGAGTGTGAGCTCTTTTAAGATAGACTTAACAAGCACTGGAGCAGGTTCAGATGCATTCAGGAGCCAGTGCAAGCCCAGCATTTGCCAACAGTGTGTAAAAGAGATGTGAGTGGTCGCCCAATCGGCTAACGAGCCGATCAGTGGTGAAGAGGATAAAGGTAAAAGTAAATAGTTACAACACTGCATCAGTGTGTGGCAACATATACAGTATATACTGTAGTCACAACACTGAATCAGTGTGTGTGGTAACATATACAGTATATACTGTAGTCACAACACTGAATCAGTGTGTGTGGTAACATATACAGTATATACTGTAGTCACAACACTGGATCAGTGTATTGTAACATACATACTGTACTCACAACACTGTATCAGTGTGTGGTAACATATACAGTATATACTGTAGTCACAACACTGAATCAGTGTGTGTGGTAACATATACAGTATATACTGTAGTCACAACACTGAATCAGTGTGTGTGGTAACATATACAGTATATACTGTAGTCACAACACTGGATCAGTGTATTGTAACATACATACTGTACTCACAACACGGCCATACCACGTTGAAAACACCGCTTCTCGTCCGATCAGAGAAGTTAAGCAACATTGGGTCTGGTTAGTACTTGGATGGGTGACCGCCTGGGAACACCGGATGCTGTTGGCATTTTTTTAAAAATCACCGAGTGTGAGCTCTTTCAAGAGAAGACTTGACCAACACTGGAGCGGGTTCAGGTACATTCAGGAGCCGGTGCATGCCCAGTATTTGCCAACAGTGCGTGACAGAGACGTGACCGATCGCCCGGGCGGCTAGCGAGCCGACCTTTTGGTGAAGAATATAAAGGAAAAGAGACGTGACCGATCGTCCAAGCGGCTAACAAGCCGATCAGTGGCGAAGAGGATAAAAGTAAAGTAAAAAAAGTATCAGTGTGTGGTAACATATATACAATATTCACAACACTGTATCAGTGTGTGGTAACATATACAGTATATACTGTAGTCACAACACTGAATCAGTGTGTGGTAACATATACAGTATATACTGTAGTCACAACACTGGATCAGTGTGTGTGGTAACATATATACTGTACTCACAACACTGAATCAGTGTGTGTGGTAACATATATACTGTACTCACAACACTGAATCAGTGTGTGGTAACATATATACTGTACTCACAACACTGAATCAGTGTGTGGTAACATATACAGTATATACTGTAGTCACAACACTGAATCAGTGTGTGTGGTAACATATACAGTATATACTGTAGTCACAACACTGGATCAGTGTGTGGTAACATATATACTGTACTCACAACACTGAATCAGTGTGTGGTAACATATGTATATACTGTAGTCACAACACTGAATCAGTGTGTGTGGTAACATATATACTGTGTACTCACAACACTGAATCAGTGTGTGGTAACATATACAGTATATACTGTAGTCACAACACTGAATCAGTGTGTGTGGTAACATATACAGTATATACTGTAGTCACAACACTGACTGGTGTGTGTGGTAACATATACAGTATATACTGTAGTCACAACACTGGATCAGTGTGTGGTAACATATATACTGTACTCACAACACTGAATCAGTGTGTGGTAACATATACAGTATATACTGTAGTCACAACACTGAATCAGTGTGTGTGGTAACATATACAGTATATACTGTAGTCACAACACTGAATCAGTGTGTGTGGTAACATATACAGTATATACTGTAGTCACAACACTGGATCAGTGTGTGGTAACATATATACTGTACTCACAACACTGAATCAGTGTGTGGTAACATATACAGTATATACTGTAGTCACAACACTGAATCAGTGTGTGTGGTAACATATACAGTATATACTGTAGTCACAACACTGGATCAGTGTGTGGTAACATATATACTGTACTCACAACACTGAATCAGTGTGTGGTAACATATACAGTATATACTGTAGTCACAACACTGAATCAGTGTGTGTGGTAACATATAACTCACTGAATGTGTGTGGTAACATATACAGTATATACTGTAGTCACAACACTGGATCAGTGTGTGGTAACATACATACTGTACTCACAACACTGTATCAGTGTGTGGTAACATATACAGTATATACTGTAGTCACAACACTGGATCAGTGTGTGGTAACAGTGTATACATATATACTGTACTGTATCACAACACTGGATCAGTGTGTGTGGTAACATATACAGTATATACTGTGTCACAACACTGGATCAGTGTATTGTAACATACATACTGTACTCACAACACTGTATCAGTGTGTGGTAACATATACTGTATACTGTACTCACAACACTGGATCAGTGTGTGGTAACATATATACTGTACTCACAACACTGGATCAGTGTATTGTAACATACATAGTGTATCAGTGTGTGGTAACATACATACTGTACTCACAACACTGTATCAGTGTGTGGTAACATATATACTGTACTCACAACACTGGATGAGTGTGTGGTAACATATATATCAAGGGGTCGGCAACCCCTAGCATGCGAGAGGGTTGACCAAGGCACGCCAAGGGATTTTAAGAACATATTACAAAATCGAAAAATAATAGAGCCATTTCAAATAAGCAACTTTAACATGAGCTGGAGCTAGAACTCACGGGTCCATTACCTGTCCGCTCAGCTGTAGCCTGTGTCGGATGAAACCCATTGTAGCCATCTTAGCTACACAAAATAGGTAGCTCGCCTTGTGTTCTTTTTCTCGGATATTTTCTATATCTAAGAAAGTGGAGTATAATTATATGTTTTATTATTTTGAATATGTATTTACATCACGTTTATTGAAATTAAACAATCATCTTTCTATTAGTATTCATTCCGCTGGATTTTTTACTTGCGGGAGTTTTTATTTCTAGGTTCCAACACTGATTACTCAGCCCGTCAGATATGATCACTCTTCTTTCAGCCGTGGTGCCAGAAGCTACTTATAATTAAATAGCCACAATGGCAGCTGCCAAGAAAGCCAAATTAGAAGTTTCATCGTTTCAACCCTCTTTGACAAAAGACTGGATTTATTCTTCAGAATGGTCGAGTTGTGTGTGTTCTGTGTTGCGAGATTGTTGTTTGCCGGACATCAAGTGTAAAGAGACATTGTGAAACGAAGCATGAGAAGACATAAGGACAATGCAGACAAGGCTGAAGCAATTAAGAAAGCAGTATCCAGCTATGAAAAACAACGCAGCGTTATAAAGAATCTGAGTGCAAAGACCATGCAACTGAGGCCAGCTACAAAGTTTCTTTGTGTATTGCTAAACATGGAAAACCATTTATTGATGGGGATTAGATAAGGGAGGCCTTTCTTAACAGCTTTCAAGTTTTATTTAGTGATTTACCAAACAAACACACAATCATCTCGATGATAAAAGACATGCCTGTTGCAGCCAGAACTGTAGAGAGGCGTATATCAGACATGGCTGCAAATATAAGAGAACAGCAAACTTTTGCATTAACAAATGCAACTGTGTTCAGTATTGCTGCTGATGAGTGTGTTGATATAAATGACATACCACGTTTGGCTATTGTCGCCAGGTACAGTGACACGGAGGTACACGAAGAGCTGTGCTGCATAAGACCTATGCATGATACTACCCAGGGAGATGACATTGTTAAAATGTTCATTGATTATTTTGATATTAAGAACAAAATATATATATTGGAAAACACAGGGGATTTGCCAGCCAAATTGAGGATAAAATCGGGCACCCCTTCCTGAAGTTACACTGCATTATTCATCAAGAAAATCTTTGTGCCAGAATTTCAAACTCTGATCTCAATAAAGTAATGGCCACTGTGTAAAAAAAAATGAATTTTTGGGTTGCACGATCTGCTCTTACACACAGACAATTCCAGTTTTTCCTTGATGCCCCTTTACTCCACTGTTAGGTGGTTAAGTTTTAGAACGGTTCGTGGAATGCTTTGATGAAATCAGGCTTTTTCTGAAAGAAAAGGGCCAAAAATACCCCGAACTGGAAGATGACCAATGGGTAGTGAAACTTCTGTTTCTCTCAGACATCACCAAACACCTCAGTGACCTTAGTCTTCGCCTGCAGGACAAACAGTTGTGGATCTGTATGACACTTGGAAGGCTTTTGTTGCAAAGCTGACAGTATACTTGGTGGATGTTGAAACTACAACTTTCCGCTACTTCAAGCGTCTGAAGGGGTGGTCAGCACATCATTCTGTGAACGTTACAGAGATTGCAGTGTACATGCAAGAACTGAAGTCAGAGTTCTCTGACAGATTTCAAGATTTCCCGCACACTGGCCCAAGGTTTTCCTTTTTAATTAATCCTTAAAACTTTGAGGCTAGTGACTTGGACTTGTCTTTATTTAAGTGGATGCAAATTGGGGATCTGCTGTGAGTGATCATGAGGCCTCCATCCTAAGATGCTGGGCATCCCTACCAGAAAAATTTGATTGCATGAAGAAGGTTGCCTTCACACTGCTTTCAACCTTTGGATCAACATATCTGCGTGAGCAGATATTTTCACACATGAAAAATATCCTTAATCCTCATCGCAGCCGACTTACAACTGATCACTCCGAGGGGTGTGTGCAACTTAAGGTGTCCAGATATACTCCCGACATAGCAACGCTGAGCAAGGGGAAGCAGGGACAGGGATCACACTAAAATAGTGAGAGCATTTTATAGTATTTGATTATATATCTTACCATTCATATGTAATTGTGTGGATTTCAAGTATGTATGAAAGCATTATTTATCAATATACACATGCCAATAATTTGCATATTGAAAATTAGAGTTGGCACGCAGGGCAGTAGAAATGTTGGAAACTGGCACAGTGTGTTCAAAAGATTGCCAATTCCTGATATATACTGTACTCACAACACTGGATTATTGTGTGGTAACATATACTGTATACTGTACTCACAGTACTGGTTCAGTGTGTGGTAACATATATATACTGTACTCATAACACTGGATCAGTGTGTGGTAACATATATACTGTCCTCACAACACTGGATTAGTGTGTGGTAACATATACTGTATACTGTACTCACAGCACTGGTTTAGTGTGTGGTAAGATATATACTGTACTCATAACACTGGATCAGTGTGTGGTAACATATGTACTGTACTCATAACACTGGATCAGTGAGTGGTAACATATATACTGTCCTCACAACACTGGATCAGCGTGTGGTAACATATATACTGTCCTCACAACACTGGATCAGCGTGTGGTAACATATGTACTGTACTCATAACACTGGATCAGTGTGTGGTAACATATGTACTGTACTCATAACACTGGATCAGTGAGTGGTAACATATATACTGTCCTCACAACACTGGATCAGCGTGTGGTAACATATATACTGTCCTCACAACACTGGATCAGCGTGTGGTAACATATGTACTGTACTCATAACACTGGATCAGTGTGTGGTAACATATGTACTGTACTCATAACACTGGATCAGTGAGTGGTAACATATATACTGTCCTCACAACACTGGATCAGCGTGTGGTAACATATATACTGTACTCACAACACTGGATCAGCGTGTGGTAACATATGTACTGTACTCATAACACTGGATCAGTGTGTGGTAACATATGTACTGTACTCATAACACTGGATCAGTGAGTGGTAACATATATACTGTCCTCACAACACTGGATCAGCGTGTGGTAACATATATGAGGTCTGTCCAAAAATAAACCGAACTTCTTAAATAGCGCGCCAACGAGCCAGTACAGCACGCTTACGATGGGAGCACTGTGTAGCGGTGACCTTGACCTTTAGTCTAACACTAGCCGCATCATGCCACGTCACGCCACGTCAATTAGTCATCGAGCAACACAGGCTAGAGTGAACGTGTGTTTATTGCACTTGGCGATTTGTTGCAAATTGAACAATGAAGGATCTTGAAGAGCAACGTGTTTGCGTGAAATTCTGCTTCAAATTGGGAAAAACTTTTAAGGAGACTTTTCAAATGTTGCAACAGGCTTATGGGGAGGATTTTTTGAGCCGAACGCAATGTCACGTGTGGTACCAGCGTTTCAAAAGGAGAAGAACATCCACCGAAGACGATCCCAAATCTGAACGTCAGAGTCGCTCAAATGTGGAGGTGATGTTGATCGTCTTTTTTGTGTGGAAGGGCGTCGTTCATCATGAGTTTGTTCCACGTGGTCAGACAGTCAATAAAGAGTTTTACTTGGAGGTCTGGACGCGTTTGAGGGAGGCAGTGTGGAGGAAGAGGCCAGAGGCGTGGACAAACAAGACCTGGATGCTGCACCATGACAATGCACCTGCTCACGCTTCGCTTCTTATCCGTGACTTTTGGCGAAGCACGAGACGACTACCGTCCCCCAGCCGCCCTACTCTCCGGATTTGGCCCCTGCGGACTTTTATTTTTTTGTTCCCAAAGTTGAAATCCACCCTGAAAGGTTGCCGATTTCAGACGATAGAAGAGATAGAAGAAAATTCGCTACGAGACCTGCACACCATCCCTCAAAACGCGTTCCAGAACTGAAAAAAAAAACGTTGGGAGCGGTGCATCAACAGTGGAGGGGAGGACTTTGAAGGAGACAAGTCTGATTAACTTGTAAGTAAAGCAATAAATTTGTTTTTTAAAAAGAGATTTCTTTTTGGACAGACCTCGTATTCTGTAGTCACAACACTGGATCAGTGTGTGGTAACATATATACTGTACTCACAACATTGGATCAGTGTATGGTAACATATATACTGTGCTCACAACACTGGATCAGTGTATGGTAACATATATACTGTACTCACAACATTGGATCAGTGTGTGGTAACATAATACTCAACAACATTGGGAACATAAATACTCACAACATCAGTGTGATGTTATTCCTTACAACTTCTCCCCATGTCACTCTTAGCTTAAACCTACTTCTCCTCCCCTCCACATTCAGACCTGTACATCTTTTGATGCAATTGGTCTCCTCCATTCTCACCACAATCTCGAACCATTTCACACTACAGTACCTCTATGCAAAACCTCACCACAATGCTTTCAACAGTCTGCAACTGTGTTAGCTCTGGACAGGGTTTCCTATATTCCAGCTCGTGTGTGTAAGATGAACAGTACATGATTTACTGAAAACACACTGCACTAAGAGAGAATCACACTGTATTATGTTCTCCATTTCATTAGATAATTCTCATTGGTGCTGACAGTTCCATGTAAAATGTACACAAAACGAGAGAAATATCACTTCATCAAATTAATGCAAAAATAACGATTTATACAGCATAAAGTATATATTTAGCCTACTACTCTGAATTTCATACTTATTGGTGGGATGTAAATATTATAAAACCTTGAAAGTGAATATTTAAATGGGGCTCTAGTAATTATGAGTAGAAATATGTTTATATATACAATATATAGGATATAACAGAGAAGGTAGTGGACCCAGAAAACACACAGTAATGAAAGACTGTTTTCTACTGCCATTGTGGCTGTGTTTTAAAAGGTACAATGACGGTATGCAAGAATTATTGGAACAATATGAAAATACTCTACATGGTAGTACTTGAGATTAAAAAATCATAGTACAGTACCTAATGCACTGTGTATATATATATATATATATATATATATATATATATATATATATATATATATATATATACAGTATATATACATATATATATACTGTATAAAGTAATATCTCCGTTAGCCAGAATCCCTCAAACCCGGAACTCTCCGATAGCCAGAATTGAAATTTTCTCGGAAAATTGTTCCCAAAATTTTGGGGACGATTTTCCGAGAAAAATTTCCCGGTACCCGGAAAATTCCGGTGATGAGGGATTTTTTTTTACGGGTTTGAGAGATGATGTAAGGGGCAATTTCTGGAACATCCAGGAACATTTTTCCGTTACCCAGAAAATTACGGGGATGAGAGTTTTTCCAACTCTGACAGAGTCGTCTCGTTACCCGGAAATCCCTCATTCCCGGAAGTGCTCAGCACCAATTGTTCCGGCTAACAGGTATATATATATATATATATATATATATATATATATCACACACACACACCATCTAAGTGGTGAATTGTAAGGATAGGTGATAAGGATAATGATTTCATATATCCTAAGAACTAGGAATTATGTAGCTGAATGAGAAGGGCTTGAACAATTTATGCCACAGAGCAAACAGTTTAGTAGTTAATAGAACAATGGTAAATCTGTGCCACAATAAAAGCTATCCCACCACCCAAACACTTGGGACCACCATAAAACAATCCTTACTACACATTTCCACTCACTATGACTTGACTGTGCCGAGTCTAATGGTCGAGTTGAGCGGTGTAAACATAAAACCAATCACAGCAGCAGTGACAGACTTCATGTCAGTTAATCACATTTTGAGGAAGGAGAATGGCTCATCTCCTACTGGTCAATTTCTGATACATCAGAAAGCAATGTCGACCAATGAAAATGCAGTCTTTTTTTTGCCAATGAGGGAGGACAATCCTATTGGCCAGTTATGGCATAATCTTTTCATTTTGAAAAATTTCATCAACCAGCGAGAATACAGGATTTCTTAACCCAATGAAGTGAAGCATCTGGTCGACTAGCCACAAGCCTCCTCTATGGTGTTCAAATCAAGTTTATGACTTGCTTGAGAAGAGTTGATACTGTGAAAAGAAAAAAAAATGTGAGCATTTCCATTAGGCTTTTCAAGAAAATGAACATCATACTACAGTAATATATAATATTAAACTTATTAGTTTCAAGATTGTAAAACGATTACTGGTGCTATAATTGGTCCAAAAAAAATCAGATTAATGCAGTCCAAATATCATCTCAGTTTATAAAAAGGTGGAGGAGGGAGGAAAATAATTATAATAAATGTATTTACATGGGAAATTTCCAATGGGAATATCTCGCTTGAGGTTTCTTCATGACATTTTTTTTTTTATTGGGCACCCCACTACATCCTTGTGTAAGGTGAAGCGCAGAAGCGTTTACAGCGCCCAACAGGGAAGCATGCTAAGTTCATGCTTGCCTTATGTCTCATGAGTAAGGGCGTAGAAGCCTGAAGAGTCAATGGTTTATGTCTAAGCAAGTTATTGGAAGCTCCAACAACTTGTCCCTGAATACGAATTCGCACCTTTCGATTTACAGCAGGTACCTACTTTGCTGCTAGGTGAGCAGGGACCAAGGGGACTAGGAAGAGTGTCCAAACAACTTCCGCCGGCCCGGGAATCGAACCCGTGATATCTTGCTTGCGAGGCAAGACCGGTACCGTTCACCCACCAGCACCCCCATGACTTATATACGTATTAACAAGTGGCTAACAAGCCAATCAGCAAAGAGGCAAAAGAAATTACTTCAATATACTATACATTAATTCAATGATTACATGACAGGCATCTTACTGAGGTAGTTCTCAGAAGGTGGGGTCAACATTCATGCATTCTTTAACAACATTATATAAATATTTTTTAAGTTCTATGAGTAACATTCGCTTGGGGAAGAAAGTAATACAAGTCAAAAGAGAAACTAAGAAAGCTGAAATAAATTATTATTTATGTAAATTTGTTCAAATATACAGTACTGTACTGTATTAATTAACTGTGTTTAACATGAACTGTGTTTAACACAATTAACACACACAAAAAGTTTGAAAGGAATAACTAGAATGCTTCATCATATTCTCTTTTGCCTTATTCAGGATAAAGGATGAAATAAGCAGTAGTGTTACTAGAGCACTGCTAATAAATATCAACAAGAGAGACAACAAATAATTTTTAAAACTAAAAAATTTCTCAGGACGTAAAGAAAATATATTTTTTTTAATCATGCTTTGTTATGAATTCCTGTCAGGAGAGTAACAGTGTGTAAGAAGTCATCGATAGGTCTTGTGGTGCGTTGTTCATGTGTGACTTTCTCTCTTCATTCTCGGTTTATATTTTATCAATCTCATTATCCCCATACAAGAAAAAAAATACTGTTTTAGCACCAAAGACAGCTGAAGACATTACAAAAAAACTACACGACTCAGTTATAACTACAGTTATGTACAATATGTATGTACACCCAGCAACAGTCTAGGGTTAAAATTAAGGTACAGTATAGAAATTTTCAAAATATTTTTACATTACTATGTCTAGTATATACTAGAAGAATACCTCGTGTTACAGTAATCTCACAAAATTTTAAAGAAATTTTGGAATTATATTTTTGTGTTTGAATTATTACATCTCCAGTTCCAATAAATAATCAAGAATCAGGACCCACCCATTCACTCAGAGGATAACAAAAAGAATGTGTGAGCAGGAAAGCTGTGTGAGACGGGCGGAGCTACGGGGTGGCCGAGGGTGGCCAGTGCCACCCTAGAGTGAAGCTTGGCCACCTCTCTGGCCACCCCAGTTACGCAAAGCGAAGCAGTCAAAGCGGAGAAAAAATCACACATATATATATATATATATATATATATAAATATATATATATATATATATATATATATATATATATATATATATATATATATATATATATATATATATATATATATATATATATATATATATATATATATATATGATGAAAAGTATATGAATATGAATATGAATAACCGCAGAATAGTTAACATTCATAGATGAGTTCCCAGCACAGCTGATGGATAGGAGTTCCCAACAGTTGTTAACTTCGCATATATTTGCGACGGTGTATGCGTTTGTTTACATGAGGGAAACATTTTATAAACCCACCGACTGACCACCCAGACACTATGATGGGGCTTCAGTCATGATTGACAAACATAGTGGTGTACAGACACATGTAAACCAGGTGGCAAAGCAGGCCTTTTACGTACATTGTAACGCTCACTGCATCAATCTTGTGCTTTTTGACACAGTAAAAGCCATCCCAGAAGTTGGATGCTTCTTTTCATTTTTACAAAAGCTGTACATCTTCATGTCAGGGTCAGTGGTGCACCAAACGTGGCTGCATGTTCAGGCTGAAATGTATCCGGGTGCTCCCAGAGAACTTCAACGGTTGAGTGACACCCGGTGGGCATGCAGGTATATTTCCTGTCGCAATTTAATAGACAGGTTGTCGGCAGTATTGCGTGTGCCAGAAGAAATAGCTGGAGAGCAGCGTGGAGAAAGGTCAGTAGATGCTCGGGGCCTGCTAATTCAAATTGACTTGGAGTAAATTGCGTTTCTAGCAACGTTTAAACAACTTTTGGGAGATACAAAATTCCTCTCTGACATTCTCCAGTCTTCATCGCTTGATTTGGCAAAGGCAGTAGACCTTGTAGAGGCACTCATTCACACCTTTGAAAATTATAGAAATGAGCAGGTATTTGATGATATCTGGAAGACAGTTTTGGGTATTGCCGAGCAGCGCAATATCTGTACGCAAACTGTTCCCAAACGACAGAGGAAACTAAGCTCTAAGCTAGAGGCGCACTGTGTCCTGTCCACGGTAGGCAGTCAAACAACTATGAACAGCAAAGATAGTTTCAGAACAGGAATATTTTACCAGGTTCTGGACATGATGCTAAATGAGCTGAGGAATGGATTTTCCAATCAAAATTGTAACATGAGGAGAGGTATCCAAGCTCTAAATCCTACTAGTGAAACAGTCTGTGAAAAGGGATACTACAGTATATTTTCATTCGCTAGGATGTATGGGTTTGATCTTGAAGACCTTGTACATGAGCTGTACCAAGTAAAGAGAATTTTGGATAGAAAGGTCAAAAATAGCATGCAGCATATTAAAGCTTGCTGTGTTTATTGAGCCATATAAGGCTGTTTTCCAAGAGTTCTTTAGGCTGTGTAAAATTGCAGTAGCAATTCCCGTCAGCACTGCTGCATGTGAGCGCAGCTTCTCCTGCCTGAAGCTGATCAAGACACATCTCAGAACTACCATGTCAGAAGATAGGTTGAGCGATCTGGGGGTTTTGAGCAAAGTCCCTCAATCTAGATAAGTTTGTGGATGCCTTTACCAGAAATTACAAGAACCGTAGAATTCAGCTGCTATAATCTGGATTATAATATATTTAACAGCACAAGTGAGATGCTAAGTGAGCAGTAAAGATACTGTAGGTGTGTGCCTTTTATGCTCAGTGGGGATTCTCCAGAGACGCCACTTACATTTATATTCATTTTGTTTATTGAGAGCCCCATATTATTTTTGTTTGTTACCTGTATTATGCACATTTTGACCTTATTGCAAAACTGTCAGCCTTTTTTGCTTTTTCTCTTCTTCCTTTGTATGAAATTGGAAATAAATTGGTAACATGACCTTCTCTTGTGAATTGTTATCTATAAAATATGCATTTAAAGCAAATATCCTTCTAATTGTAATGTTTATAGAGGTGCAGTCACATAAAATTAGTTTGTTAGAGATGAGTAACAGCAGCAGAGGTGTATGTCTTTAGCTACCGTAGGTGTGTGAGGGATACTCCACTGAGGCCATGCACAGATAGGGGTAACAACATTAAGTAATTTTCTGTAGATTTGAAGCAGTTATTTTTCACCACCCCAGTTTTGCCAACCCAATAAAATCACTGGGTCTAACCTGGACACCCAGTAGAAACGTTCTGGCTCCGCCCCTGATGTGAGAGCAGGAAAGCTGTGGAGTCACTTATTGAATTGAATTGAATTGAAACGCGGAGTCTAATGCCTTTATGAAGAAATATAAAAAGTCAACCCCAGGAAGATCCCTCACAACTCTCTGGGAGATGATCATGGGGGATTTTTTCTAAAAAGCTTGTTATTTGCTAATTTTCACCGGCATGGGTATGAACTTTAGTGATTACAGTATTTACTTTTAAGTATTCTGAGTAAAGTTCAGAATTATAAGAACATAGTCCTATACAATAGTTATAATATACTTATAAAAGTTTGTCACAAATTATGAGTGTCCAATATGTGTGATGGCTTATTGAAGGCAGTGTGGATGCAACACACTAAATACTAGGCCTTTGATATACAAAGAGGGAGTGTGGCCACCTTCACCTTCACTTCCCTGGGTGAAGGTGATTCTTTGGACAAGAGCCAAGCGTTATATCCACTCACCCACCATATTTCTATGGATATTTAAATATCTAAATTGCGTGGCTCGTTTTACAGTACGAGTAGTAATTATTTTACTTATCAAAGCTTAGAATAATTTTACAATGATTAGAATACTCCAAGTTAAGATACCATAATTTTCTACTGAGAATAAGGATTTATTGTCCTTGTTTCAGGACATAATTAATTTCTTTAATCAATGTGGCCACAGGTTTGTATAAAAGGAAAATGATTAAATTTCACTGGTTTTTATTCACTATGATGTCATAGTGTTTAAGGTAATGCACTATGTCAGGTGATTTGCAAAAGGGTATCATAAGCATGGTAAGAGTGCATTAATATGGGTTTAATTTGATGACAGAGGTCAATAACTGAACTCGCACACTAAAGGAGAGCTTTAATTAAAATATTTGGTAAGGGTAAGAATTGTGCACTATTTTACATCCTGGTGAACTAAGAACTAAAGGAGCATGAAAAGACCAGGCGGTGTGCAAAAAAACTTACATTACAGTAGCCCAGTCACTATGGTGTGCGGAGCATTACATCCGCAGTGCACTATCACCTAGCTGCTACTGCTAGCTGTGCGCTATGATCCATCCACTGGCATCTAACATCCTACGACACTGCTGATGAAAGTGTATATGGCGGTATACTCACTGTACTCACCACGCCGGCTGACAACTGCTGCAGGAGGTTACCGCTTGCGGAGTTTGAGATGAGGGCTGAGGGCCGACGGTGAGACTTGTACGATGACCCTAAGGGATTGCTGACCGAGGCCGTGGAGGACCGCCTAGACTCTATACCACTTAGTGAGTTGATGGAACACGTTGATTGCCTCCGAGAACCCAGGTTGGAGACCGGTGAAGGAGTCAGCAACATAGGTACACTCTTGCTGGCATTGGCAATGGAGGAGTTCTGTTTGGGGTGGGGGAGGGACAAAGTGGGTTTGTAATCCTGCTGACTGGCCAGGGGTAATATATAACGCTAATTTTTGTCTAAGGAATACATATTGTTAATACGTACTACTGTATCTACAATATGAACACCATTCTTAATGAAATACCGGTACTTTACTTTATGCAATATAGATATCTTGCTTTACTTAAAGACTTAAGTTGCTGTGTGAATTAAAAAAATAGAAATAACAGAGTAAACACTAGAGACAGAAATGAGGTGAGGGTAAGTAAGGCAGTAAAATATTAAAAGACACTTTAGAATGAGGTCAAGATGCATGATCGAGTATTTTCGAAATTATTAAATAAATCTGATACAGTACATTTCTGACGATACAACAACATGTTCAGCATCCCAAGTATTGTAAACAGTTGAGTTAATAAATGATTGTGTAATAAATACTTTCTACTTAATACTAATCTATTATGATAACTTTAATAAACAAAAGACATTTTGTTCCATTTGATATTCACCCCTACAGAGAAAGTAATAGGATACTTCACACTAGCCATCATAAAAAACAATAGCCACCGTATAAGTTTATTGGAAATTGTATACCTGCACAGTATATGTACAATCGTAGTCAAAAGTAATCATCTACCCCTCCTACTAGCACACCCATGAGCTCAAGGCCCTTCTACAAGATGGGTCATAAGAGGGTGAGGGAGGTATTGATGAGAAGAGAGGTAGATGTGGCAGACCTGGGTAAGGTAGAAAGGCGCAAGTTAAGGGCCACATACGTAGTGAGAGTCTATGTGGGTTTAGAATTATCCTTAACACCTGAAGAGGGTGTTAAGGTTGGTGGATGTAGCTTGATGTTGATGGCCTTCATGACCCTGGCAGTTAATAGGCCTATAGCCAACATAACCAACCATACAGGATGGTAGGTGTCCAGGGAAGTAAAGGGAAGGTGTCATATGGACTTAACTTTCCCTTAGTTATATATGCCTTTACCTGCACTTGAAATTTTGGAGAGGAATGCGAGTGAGCTTTTGGCAGGTAATGTTTCTGATTCATTAGGGTTAATAAGTCATCTGGCTTCTGTGAAGGAAAGCCTCTGATATGACAACATAAGAGAGGAAGGGGAGTGGCTTTGTTTGGCCTTTTTCACCACCAGTAACACTTCCACCTCTTACCACAACTGTTCTTGAGTAAAAAGGAAAAAAAAAAATTTGTTGGATAAACTGTGACATGTCCACCCTGTAATATGTTTATTAAAGTTGTGAAAATCAATGAGAGGTGATGAAGTGGTAGTCACAATGGTATAGGCCCCTGCACCACACCCAGCCTTGGATGGACGCTAAAGAACGTCGATTGGCAAATTGCGGACATTTTATCGGTTTGCACGCGGCTGGCTACAACTTGTCAGAAATTACAAGGGAGGTTGGAATCACCAGACAAACCGAGACGTTGGATAACCCACTGGGAGGAGTCTAAGAACTACTGAAACTGGCCGGAGTTTAAATTAGAATGCCTAATTTCAGGTGTGTAATGTAAACAAAACATATTTGAACTCGTAATTCATATAAAAGAAATAATTTTAATTTTAGGCCAGGGAGACCACGATTGACAGGTGAGGAGGGCATTAGACAGGCTATTGAAATTCTGTATGACCTGTGTTGGTAAATAAAAAAAAATGTTATTTCCAACCCATTTTCAAAGTTATTATAAATATCTAAATACTGTTGTTTAAAACCTGAAAAAAATTAATTCAGGAAATGGATGACACATTAAAGTACATCATAAAATAAGGGTCCTCATGTAAACCTAAGATAATCCATATTGTGAAAAAAAAACATAAATCCATCCTTCCCCTCCCTCTTTCATGGATTTCCTTGATTTCTTCAATACCCTTTCTCCCTGATGAGCAACTTGCATTGCATACCACCCTCTCACACCCCAACAAATGGCCCTCCCCCAAGTCGACCATTACCCCTCTCCACCAGTGACTTTCCTTGCAGAAAGGACTCAGCCAAGAGTGAGGGTTAGATGGTAGAGTGGATGATTACTTTTGACCACAACTGTACACTGTAAACCTGCACAGTCTATGTACACTATACCTGCACAGTCTTTGTACACTGTAAACCTGCACAGTCTATGTACACTGTAAACCTGCACCGTCTATGTACACTGTATACCTGCACCGTCTATGTACACTGTAAACCTGCATTGTTTATATTTAGTACATGTATACTGATTTTCATATAGATATTGAAACAGCTTATTTAGCCAGAAAAATACAGATACAGAGTGGATAATAATAACAATACTGATATGGCTGAGCCATACTCATCTACCATATATGCCTGTGTTACTTTACATTATCCTCCCTATCAGCCTGTTAGCCGCTTGGGCGGTCGGTCTCTATTACGCACTGTTGGCAAGGACTGGTTCCAGAATGTATCTGTACCTGCTCCCTTGTAGATCAAGTCTGGTCTTGAATGAGCTCACAAGCAGTGCTTTCACAACACTCTCTGGCAGATTGTTCCAAGAGTTCACAACTCTCACTCTGAAAACAAGTTTGTCCTGACAATTTTCCGAACTTGTGGCTTCTTCAACTTCTTCAACGTTAAGTGTGACCTCTAGTAGGGCGGGCATCTGCCAGGTGCAAGTATTAACACTCGACTGAGTAATGTCCCCTGAGGTGTTTATAAACTTTTATTAAGTCGCCCCTTGCCGGACTATACAGTAGTATAAGCTAGGCAATTTCAAGTGTTCTAATCTCTCTGGGTACCTGAGGTGCCATAGTGCAGGCACCAGTCTGGTCACCCCCATCTGGATGATTTCAATCAACTGACAATCTTTAGTACATCTTGGAAACCAGATGGGATGACTACTCCACACGGGGAAGTACCTCACTCCTGAAGAGCGTTATGAGGAACGAGTCATCAAGGTATCTGAATGCTCTTCTTATAAGACCCACAAGCTTAGTTGTTCGATTCTTGTTCATCTTCTCACAATGGTCTAAGAACTTCAGTTCATTGTCTGCATACACACCCAGGTCTTTCTCACATTTGGTCCCCCTTAATGCTGAATCCCTATTGAGACATATGATATGCCTCTTTACTCTTGGTGCAACATAGGTGCATCCTTTTGTATTTCATGACATTGAATCCTAACAACCAATCCTTTCTCCACTCCTGAAGCTGACACAGATCTTTCTGGACTATTCACAGTCCGTTTGGTTCTTACCGTCAATTTCCCTGATTAACTTGGCATCATCTACAAACATTTATATGGAAGAGTGTATAGCTTCTGGCATGTCATTTATGAAACAAACAAACAGCAGATGGCCTAGTACACTCCCCTGTGGTACCCTGCTTGTCATGGGAACGCATGATGATTTCATGTCATTCATCACCACACACTACTTCCATACACTTCCTGTCACCCCATCGGCTGAATTGGCACTGACACGAGTAAGGAAGGCAGCCAAGAAAATGGAAGAGAGAGTTGGTGCCAGTACACAGCCTTGTTTTACCCCCGTTTGGGTGGGGAAGAACTCAGACTGGGTGCCATTGTGCAGGACACTGCCGTTCATGCCATCGTGGAGTTGCCTCACAATGGCGATGAATTTTGGTGGGCAGCAAAAACGGCTGAAGGTCCGCCAGAGGGTTTCCCTGTTGTATGAGTTGAAAGCCTTGGTTAGGTTGATGAAGGCCATGTACAGGTCATGATGCTGTTCTCTGCACTTTTCCTGTATCTGCGGCCAGCAAAGATCACGCATGCAAGCACGCACGCACATTCATATTAGGTAAATTATTTTGTATAAATTTATTGACTTTAAGTCTACAGTATTTATAAATTATTTGAGTTATTTAGACTTTATTTAATCATTATAGCGGCAGGATATACAACTTATTTGGGCTCTTCTGGGGCTCCGGAACCGAACCTATTTTCTCCATAAATTATCAATACGTATCAATGTACGATCGACCACTTAATAATGGCTTATTGAGGTCCCTAGCTCCTTTGTGTAATGGTCCATGCCTGTTTGTTAGTGCTACACTTAACTGTATACAGTACAGATTTTGGTAGCACTACACAGAATGTCTTTTGGAAAAAAGCCAGTTTTCAAAAGGCAAAAGTCATTCAGTAATATCATGAAGTGAAAAGGCACCTGCAAAAAAGAGCATTTTTTTTTACAAGGAATAGTCCACCCGGGCACAGGTCATCAATCCACAACCAGGCCTGGGGGACGAAAAAAATAAGAGTAAAAATAAATTGAAAATAAAAGAGAAAAAGATTATCTATCAAAATAATTATGACAATACAGGCTTTGTAACACTTCTGAGATATAGTACTGATAAAATTATATATTTTTTTAAATACTGTATACTGCAAATGAAAATAACTGGGATATGCCTACGTTTCAGCATTATTGAAACAATACAGAATTCTAGGAGTGAATATAATCAATACAGGCTGAACAGACACTGGTCAGAATTGCACCATTTCAGAAATTTTTTTACAAAAACAACATAAAGCATCTTACCTTAGAGCCATGGTCTCTTAACATCTTTACCAGTACAGTATATTGTACACTCAATACCCAAACATACTTCTCTGATACATATTTACTGTAACGTACTGTACTATAGTGCCATCAGTGATTTACTGTTCAAATACAAATTTTCTTTATATACTTTAAAAAAAAAAGAACAATAAGCTGTGTTAGCTAGGCTTTGCAGGCAAAAGTTGTCTCATGAAGTCAGGATTAATACAGAATTTAGAATATGTGGACATCGGAAATACAAAAGCAGTTGGTTTCTTTCCTGTTATGCTGAGACAATATGAAACTTAGTTGTGGTTGAGATGCAACACCTCTTTGTCGTGTTAATCTTATGTTGGTTATACCCTCATAATTATAAACCTTTGTGTTATTCATTGCCCACAGTACTGTACTGATATCTAACTAAACAACCAAAATAAAATTAATAATTTAAATAAACTTGGGCACTTAATTACTGGCATAAATAAACCTGAGCTTCTTATCGCTGATGCCACCAAGTCTACCTATTTCAAGAATATAAAATACTGTATGTTATTATGGTTTTAGTACAACATGCGCTGTATACATATTGAGGAGCTAATGAACGTAACTGTTTAATTTACCTTTAAAAAAGACTGGGACTTTGTCTGCATAGGAAACGATAAAAAACACACATTGAGGACACAATTGACGTATAAATATATGAAATTTGATAATAATCAAGTTTAAAAATTATGCAAAAAATAATTCTAGCTGGCAAATTTAACTAGAATTGATTTATAATGGCTATTTTAAAATCACAATGCACATGGTTAATTAAATTGACCCTCAATTCTGCAATTCCTGTTTATGGTTGCATAAATACTGGGATAAACATAAGCATAAAACATACTGTAATCTCAAAATTACAAAGAAGAAGAATTAGAATGGTGGGTGAATCCTCTGATGACACACAGTTGTAAGCAGAGAAGCAGTACTGTATGTTGTGCAAAATCTATTCTTGACAAGGAAACTTACATCTATGTTCTCGCATTTTTTCTTATCCTTTACTCTCAAAATATATTCTTGAAAATATTTCCACACATTATTAATAACTTTAGTCGTTATACATTTAATAATAACAGGACCGTAACTAAACAATTTTAATACAGTACCTGTATAATGTTTCATCAATCAATTGCAATTACTGTACAGTATAAAATATTTCTATACTGTATTTTCTAAATGTTTATCTAAAACAAATTTTTTTTCATATTTCTGTATTGGAAAACTTGTTAAACACTGGATGTTTTAATGCATGTAAACCAATTAAAATTTGTTTATGAGGCATTAATTTAATAAGTTATGAGGACTGTGTTCACTGTCAAGTATAAACTATACAACAAGAGGTAAAATTCATTTCTGCCTAAGGAATGTGCTAATTAGCTTAAGTTGAGAAAGGTCATGTGGATTTCACTAAATAAATGAAGAAAATTAAAAAAAAGTTTTACCATAAAAAGGGGAGAAGGTTTACAATAGATAACGCAGCACTAGACACATCAAGCAAAAGAGAGTACAAAATATTACACTGTGCGAGCAAACAATGACTTACACTATGGCACAGAGGATAATGTTTAATCAAGGAAGATGAGAAGTGGGTAAACTAAACAATATTACATCAGATAGACTAAAGGATGAATAATTATGATCATTTAGACGCGAGATAAAATGAAAGTCTACAGTACACTTGTTGGCATTGCACTAGATTGCATAATTATTGAAAAGTATAAACGAAGAAAGTATCAAGTAGATTATTTTACATTTACTGTTATCCTCATCGCCACTAATCGGCTCCTTAGCCACTTGGGCGGTTGGTCACGTCTCTGTTACACACTTGGCAAATACTGAGCATGCACTGGCTCCTGAATATATCGGAACCTGCTCCAGTGTTGGTCAAGTCTTGCCTTGAATGAGCTCATACTCGGTGCCGTCACAACACTCTCTGGCAGATTGTTCGAAGAGTTCACAATTCTCACTCCGAAAAAATTGCCCTCACTGTTCACTGTTTTCTGAACTTGTGGGGCGGGTGTCCGCCAGCTCCAGGTATGTACATTCGACCGAGTAGTGCCCTCCGAAATGTTTATACACTTCGATTAGGTCGCCCCTTGCCCACCTGTAGTACAGTATAAGCGAGGCAGTTGCAGGCTTTCTAATCTCTCTGGGTAGCCGAGGTTCCATAGAGCAGGCACCAGTCTGGTGGCCCTCCTTTGGACATTGTCAATCAACTGACAGTCTCTAGCATGCCTCAGGGACCAGACGGGGTGACAGTACTCCAGGCGGGGAAGCACCTCACTCTTGAAGATTGTGATGGGAGACGGACCATCTGGACATCTAAACGACCTTTTTATAAGACCTACTAGTTTCGTTGCCTGATTCACCTTCTTCTCACACTGGCTCGAAAACTTCAGTTCATTATCAACATACACATCCAGGTCCTTTTCACATTCAATTCTCAAATAATGTAGTCTCTTCGTCCCGTTCGGACATATGATACGCCTCCTTACTGTTGGTGTGACCCAGGTGCATCCTCTTACACTTCGTGACATTGAATCTTAGCAGCCATTTCTTCAACCATTCTTGAAGCTCACAGAGATCCTTCTGCAGCTCTTCACAGTCTGTTTGGCTCTTAATTTCCCTAAATGACTTGGCATCGTACACAAACATTTGTATGGAGGAATGTATAGCTTGTGGCATATCACTTATGAAGCAAACAAACAACAACGGGCTCAATACAATGCCCTGTGGTACCCCGCTTGTCACAGGTACACAAAATAATTTTGTACTATTAATCACCACACACTATTTGCGGTCACGCAGAAAAATCCTGGTCCACGCTAAAACACTTCCCCGAATCTCGTACCCTTCCAGTTTAATTTTTAGCCTTTCATGGGATGCGCTGTCAAATGCCTTGGCAAAATCTACGTATATATTGTCAATAATTCCGAACTTGTTCTAAAATATAAGCCCAAACATCCAGGACCGTGAGTAATTGTTTTAACCAAGATCGTCCCAGCATAAAATCGTATTGACAATCCTTTACAAGGTTGTTTCGTAGTTGAGATCCCATCATGGCATCTCTTATAATGCTCTCTTGTACTTTACACACTATGCTGGTCAGGCTCACTGGTCTAGAATTATTCATAGAGGGACGGTCGCCCTTCTTGAATATAAGATTCACGTAAGCCATTTCCATTCGCCGGGACCTTTTGCTCCTCCAGGCATCTACAGAAAAGGATCTTTGGGGGCTCCACAAGCTCGTTACACAGTTCTCTGGGATGCACCATATCAGGGCCGGGACTCGTGTGAATCTTCAGCTTTGACAGTTTATATCTTATAACCTCTTCCCAGAACACAATGTTAGTCAGCATTGTGTTAAACCGTCTTTCCTCAAACGCAGGAAGATTGTTCACATCCTCTCTTGTGAACACCGAGGAAAAGAATTTGTTCAACGCCTCCACCTTATCCTGGTCGGAATCTGCAAAACTACCATCTTGCGTTTTTAAACTTTGCCTAGCGGTAATGTGATAAGAATAAGATATCACATATAATGATAACCTCCAAAAATAATAATAAATGAAACATTAAAAAAAAATGAAAGCAAAAGTACAGTACACTAAATAATATTTAGCAACAGTATATGACAGGAGGTTGTGTCAACAGTATATGACAGGAGGTTGTGTCAACAGTATACGACAGGAGGTTGTGTCAACAGTATATGGCAGGAGGTTGTGTCAACAGTATATGACAGGAGGTTGTGTCAACAGTATACGACAGGAGGTTGTGTTAACAGTATATGACAGGAGGTTGTGTCATCAGTATATGACAGGAGGTTGTGTCAACAGTATATAACAGGAGGTTAGGTTAACAGTATATGACAGGAGGTTGTGTCAACAGTATATGACAGGAGGTTGTGTCAACAGTATATGACAGGAGGTTGTGTCAACAGTATACGACAGGAGGTTGTGTTAACAGTATATGACAGGAGGTTGTGTCAACAGTATATGACAGGAGGTTGTGTCAACAGTATATAACAGGAGGTTAGGTTAACAGTATATGACAGGAGGTTGTGTCAGCAGTATATGACAGGAGGTTGTGTCAACACAGTGACAGGAGGTTGTGTTAACGGTATATGACAGGAGGTTGTGTCAACAGTATATGACAGGAGGTTGTGTCAACAGTATATGACAGGAGGTTGTGTCAACAGTATATGACAGGAGGTTGTGTCAACAGTATATGACAGGAGGTTGTGTCAACAGTATACGACAGGAGGTTGTGTTAACAGTATATGACGGGAGTTGTGTCAACAGTATATGACGGGAGGTTGTGTCAGCAGTATTATATGACAGGAGGTTGTGTCAACAGTATATGACAGGGAGGTTGTGTCAACAGTATACGACAGGAGGTTGTGTCAACATTATATGACGGGAGGTTGTGTCAACAGTATATGACGGGAGGTTGTGTCAACAGTATACGACAGGAGGTTGGGTCAACAGTATATGACAGGAGGTTGTGTCAACAGTATATGACAGGAGGTTGTGTCAACAGTATATGACAGGAGGTTGTGTCAACAGTATACGACAGGAGGTTGTGCTAACAGTATATGACAGGAGGTTGTGTCAACAGTATATGACAGGAGGTTGTGTCAACAGTATATAACAGGAGGTTAGGTTAACAGTATATGACAGGAGGTTGTGTCAACAGCATATGACAGGAGGTAGTGTCAACAGTATATAACAGGAGGTTAGGTTAACAGTATATGACAGGAGGTTGTGTCAACAGTATATGACAGGAGGTAGTGTCAACAGTATATAACAGGAGGTTAGGTTAACAGTATATGACAGGAGGTTGTGCTACTTTTTTGCTGTTATCCTCTTCACCACTGTTTGGCTCGTTCGCCACTTGGGCGGTTGGTCACGTCTCTGTTACACACTGTTAGCAAGTACTGGGCATGCACTGGCTCCTGAATATATCTGAACCTGGTCCAGTGTTGGTCAAGTCTGGTCTTGAAAGAGCTCACACTCGGTGCGGCAACAACACTCTGGCAGGTTGTTCGAAGAGTTTACAACTCTCACTCCGAAAATGTTTGCCCTCACTGTTTTCTGGACTTGTAGCTTCCTCAACCTTGAGTTGTGACCCCTTGTAGGGAGGGTGTCCGCCAGCTCCAGGTATGTACATTCGACCGAGTAGTGCCCTCCGAAATGTTTATACACTTCGATTAGGTCGCCCCTTGCCCATCTGTAGTATACTGTAAGCTCGGCAGTTGCAGGCGTTCTAATCTTTGGGTAACTGAGGTTCCATAAAGCAGGTACCAGTCTGGTGGCCCTCCTTTGGACGTTTTCTATCAATTGACAGTCTCTAGCATGCCTTGGGGACCAGACGAGGAAGTACCTCACTCTTGAAGATCGTGATGAGCGACGCAGCATCCAGATATCTAAACGACCTTCTTATAAGACTTACTAGTTATCACCATAAACACTGTATCCCCTTATGAATGATGGATTGTATGCACAATCACAGTTCTTTACAAAACACAGAAAATACTTTCTTTGTGGCAGCAATGATGTGCTTCGGTTTCTTATAGGAACGTTGCTTGCTTTTATTTTTTTCC